AAAAAACTTGTTCAAAGTAAAAATGCCATTTTAATTTACCAGAGTGCTTACAATATATTAAATTAATTATTTGTATATGGATGAACGTATATAAATATAAGTGCAACACAAACGTATGAGCAACTCATGCAAACGTATGCGTAAATAAATATACGAGAGAAGAAAAAAAAATAAAATAAAATAAAAACAACAACATAGCAGCAACAAAAATCAACACTGCCAATAATAAAATTAAATATTTTATTTTACTTAAAATGACTGAAAATATTTATACACGCTAATTTTTTTGCAATTCATTAATAATAACGACATTATTTTTAAATAAAAGCGAAGACGTTGAACGTCCATTGCCAACATAAATGTTAACTAAGTAAATACATATATTCTATATGTATATATAATATACATTCAATGTAAATTGTAAATACTCAACCTATAAAAATATGGAAAACATCACCGAGGCCAATTTTGAATCCTCCGCTAACGATAGCCTCAGCGAAAGAAATACCAGCACTGATATGGATAAGCAAATTTTAATATTTGGTTCACAATTAGTCAATATCAACTCCAGTACGCCATATTCTGACGCAACGCAGGTATGTTTACAATTAATAAACGAATAATAAACATTTTTAGTTTTTTTTTTTTAAATACGTTTTATATATTAACTATGATTGAAATACATATTTGAATTTTTCAAAGTTCAATTACCTACTGCGCATTTTAAAGCAAATCATGTGAACGCTTGAACTGAACCGTTTGCACTCCCCCATTACCAAGAAAATGATTAATCTACAACAACAAAATTATTTTATAAAATTATGTACAGTAATTTTGATGTTTATTAATTGTATATGCGCTTGTTTCAATATATCCTTTTGTATGCATTTAAAATCATATTAAATCTACGATAACTAGAAATGTATTTTACAGATCAATTATACTATATCAGTCAGTGCATGCACACACATACGTACGTGCATTTACATCCACGTATAGCTAAAGTAATGGTTGAGTTTATTCCTTTATTATCAATTTCATCACAAAATGTAGATAAATACGTTATAAGAAACACATTGAAGTAATGTTATATGTATATATAAAATATTACATATAAGTATATATATAATAAAATGTATACATTAATATATATATATATATATATATATATAAATTGTTATATATTTTAAAAAAATTTATTTTATTTATATTCTTCCAATATAAATAATTTTAAAAAAAATATTTACAACATAAATATTTTTATAAAGTGCTATAAATATTTGCATAAAAGTAAGGTTTTAAACGTATTACACATGTATGCAACAAAAGTATTATTTATATACAAATATAATTTACATCACAATCATGTGTATAAATTATTAAACATATATGTATGTATTTACTTATATATAACGTTGAGTGCAAAAAATTGTACCGTAGCACAAGACTTGTGAGTTCGATGATTCCTTATATATTACCGTCCATACATAGATGATTATAAAGTAGAAATTAAATTTTAATATTTACATTTAAATATTAAAGTTTTTAATTAATAAACAAATATTTAAAAAATATATGCTGTAGCTACCCATAACTAGTATATCTCTCACCGGAATAAAATATTAATATAACAATTGATATTTTATTTATAACGGTATGATTAATATGAGTTCGATGATTCCTTATATATATCTCCACCCATACATAGGTTATGATTTATTAATTATAATTAATTATTGATTTATTAAAATCAAATTTCAATATTTACATTTAAATATTAAAGTTCATAATTAATAAACAAATATTTAAAAAATGTGTATGTGCTGTTAGCTATCCATAAGTAGTATATCTCTCACCGAAATGAAATAATAAGATAACTATTAATATTTTATTTATAATGATATGGTTAATATAAAAAATTTAAAATATATATTATAACAATTAAAATTTAATATTTGTATATTATTTTTTAAAAATATTTTAAGTTTGTTTAATTATTACGGTGTTTAAATAATCTACCCATAGAAAGCAGCAAAAAAAAAACAAATAAATAAACTCAAACTTATCCTGGTTTATGAATGTTAAAAAATTCACCCAAGCATCAGTCTGTTGCTATACTCAAATGAAAGTCTTTTCGACTAATATAGCAAATAATACAATGTAATATTATATTTTATATAACTCAATTTCTATTTATATTGTCGACCTATAATCGTTATAAGCCGACAATATAAAATAATAAACTAATTAAGTTTAAAGCCAAGATATATATAAATTATATTTAAATTGTAAATAAATCCATGTAATATAACAATATTTTAGATTATTTTATTATTGATTTTTTTAAAAAATATATTTAATAAATTTATTTTAAATTATATTCGTATGTAACTAATTATTTATATACATATAGCATATGTAATTTATTATTAATTTTGGTAGATAGGAATTTATTAAAACTTATATAACTATATAAATATTTAAAGTAAAATCAATATTGAAAACTTATTAATGTTTAAATAAAAATAGTAAAATAAAAGTCCTTTCAATTTCTAATGAGTCTGGTCCACATTCCAAACAAAATGATCTCCTTAAAAACTGTGCAGGTTGGTTTTAAAAGTTAGATTCTTATAACAAGGTTTTGTGATAAGAAAACGGCGCCAATGCACTACTTGAAGACAAAAGGAAACTTGCCGTCATCAAAAACAAACCAATAATTTTTATATTAAATGTTAATATAAAATTTTCGAAACTTATTTGATTTCTACAGAAGTTCTAACATGTTTAGAGCAGACTTATAGTCTACTTTATTTTATCATGTTCAGATAAGCTGAATAAAATTTTATTTTATTGTTTCATTTTTATAGAAAAAGTAATTTTCTATTAATAATAAAGTCCATTTTCTAAATCGTAAATACTATATATGTATATATGTAGTATACAGTGGCGTAACTACAGGGAAGCAACTGGAAGCAACGCTTTCGGGCCCCCGAATTTAGGGGGCCCACCCATAAGTTTTTGTATTCTTTGTATTTATTTTTAATAAATTCTCAAAAGTGGGACGAAACGTTTTTTGTTGGAGAAATTTCATATTGTATTTTATAAAAGATACGTAAATTTTAAATTTAAAGTACATAATATGTATGTACTTCAAATAATATATTAAACCTATTTATAAAAGTTTTTCTAAGAAAAATATGTGTCTTAATCGAGAGTTTATATGGAAGCTATATCTAGATATAAACCCATTTGAAAATAATTTTGTACGTTGTCTTTTGCAAATATCAGTACTGTATACACCAAATTCCATTTGAATACCTTTATTAAAAAAGGAGAAACCTCATATCCGATTGTTAAGTTTATATCACAGTTACAAGAAATAGACGTCCAATTTCAATCAAATCAAATGGTGAACAAAAGTTTCATTCGAAGAGTTCAAAAGCTGAGAGAGTAGTTTGAACTGAAAAAGTATATATATATTGTACTGATATATACTTAATGGTATTTCCGACGTTTTCTTTAATGCGTTACGAAAATCTTGACAAACCTTATATATCCTTTTCACATTTTTTCGTGTAAAGAGTATAAAAATAGGGGCCCCTTGATATGTTGGTAGGGGCCCCTTAGTTAGAATTTGCTTACAGGCCTAAAAAATGTAGTTACGCCACTGGTAGTATAAAAGAAATCCTAATCAATTTCGAAAATCCGTGCAATATTTAATCATCACCCAAATAAACTTTAATATATATGTAATTTAGATAGGAGAACCTATACTAATAGAAACTTGTAGTTAATAACTTATATAGTTTCGCAACTTTTAGAAATACTACACTCTTTTTATTAACTATAATATATGTATATATGTATGTACATATAGATATTTGATAAAAAAGGAGAGTTTAGTATCTCAAAGTCATTATCAATCATTGACATTTAATTTAATTTTGTGAAATTGTTAAATGTTGTAGATCTAAAACTTCTTTTAAAACTTTAATACTTTATCTTAATGAAAGCGAATTAATTTTTAAAAATTAAATTATTTGTATTATATACCTATCTTATTATTCTATCAGAATAGTATTAATTTGAAAAAGTAATTTTTTAAATATCACAAATTCTTGAAATACACACTTAAGTATTATAATGACTTAAAAAAAAATAATAATTACGAAAATATTAACAAATAAAGATAAAATAAGTTCTTTAACCTTAAACTTCTGAATGCCTAAAAAAACAACATAGTTGAGAAAGCAAATTTTCAAAATAAAATTATAAACTTAAAGCTTATGAATTACCCGTATCATCCCACTCATGTCTATAATTTAGTTGGTTTTATTTTTTTCGTATTTATTGCATTCATATAGCGACCTTCAAACAACAACAAACAGTCTAAAATTTTCGGTTTCGGGTTTATTGACACATACAATTAGGGGATGACAGAAAGGTCTTTCCACTTTACACAGACTTCGTGCACTCCAACCACACTGTTGCAACATGTTTCAACACATTGCCGTTCCTCTTATATTGTTTAGGTCTTTACGTTTTCTTTTATTGTTTTTTTCGTGTATACATTATACATTCATTTCTGTTTTTTGTTTTTGTTTCTGTCTGTTGTGAAATGGGCAATAATGGAATTTACTATTTTTTTATGGATGTGACACTTTCCTATCATGCTTAAATTTTTGAATTTTTTACTTTGCGTTATAATTTATATTGGGTTAAAGTCCTTTTGCAAGGAAACTTAAATGAATATAGGAACCTTTTCTTTTTACGGGGTTAAAGACACTTTATAATACTGTATGCTTGTGTTTGTATAGCTTTTAATGCATACAGAAATATTTTATTATAGTAAAATTAACCTTGGGTCTCAACAGTAAATAAATAAATCTTATAGGTAGGTTAATTACCTTAAATTTTGCTAATTTAGTAAATATATTTTTAACATTATCTACTATTTATAATAATCAAAAGTGATAATTATTTGTTATCTACCTTTGCAAAATAAAATAAGTATATTTTATAAATAAATTTTAAATATATAAGTGAATGTGTGATATTTCAATAGCTTTTTAAAGTACCTCAAATTTATAAAGTAATTAGTATTTTCATATTATAAATTAAGAACTAAAATTTAAATGTTCTACTGTTCTACAAGCTTGACATTAAAAAAATTTATTCAGTAAAGATATTGAACAATAAACAACAGCCACACACTTGAAGAATTTACATATAATACTTTTTATCCGAAAAGCTCAAATCGAAAAATTCCATTGACTGTTGTTTCTGTTCTTATAGCAAATACAAAGACTTAGATCCATAATTTCATAAAAGCCCCGTATTCAGTAATTCTTAATGTGACTGAAAACTGTCCACAGGAAAAATATATGTTCAATATAACATACGGAAGTATATTATCCGACGAACTGAACATAAAATAATATTTCTTACCTTCTTACTAGGTGATTTATAATGGCTTTTTGAAGTAAAAGTTGGTACAATTTATTTTTCAATTAAATGCTTCTGTACAATGCAATACATACGAAGAATATTTATATTTTTATTGAAAATCAAACAACCATTATGCCTTAAAGCTTATATCGAAATATAATACATTTTTAAATACGTTGTCGATATCCAAGTTATACGAAAATTTTAAACATAGCTAAACATAATTGGGCAGAAATACTCTTCTGGCAGATCTCAAGATCAACCTGATCTAAACTAGACAAGAAAATTAATAGTTAACTTCAACTAGGGTGTAGCCTGCTCAGCATTACAGTATCGGTGCGTACTAGCAAGAAATGCTGAGACTGGGTGTACCCTATAATGACTTTTCTTGTGAAACTATACTCAACCTAATGTGTCAGTGTATATTATTGACTAGGATAAGATTAAAAATATTTGCGACTTTTTTTACCGAGCTGATAGAGCTGTTATCCTGCAAAATTAGAGGACTTCATCCGGCTGGTTAACCTTTACTTTTTATAGGAGAGTCATATGAACAACGCTAATCCGTGGCCTCATAACTAGCCATTGTAGGCATATATATATATATATATATATATATTAGATAAATATATATTAACACTAATACCCGTTTTATCAATGTGACACTGTTACTTTCCGGTCTAGTGTAGAGCTAAATTTATCTAAAATTCCATAAGCAATGTATTATCTAATTCAAATTTCATTGCGTGTCTAAATACACTGCCTCTTTATATATCCATAGCATATATATCCATAATACAAAATACTTAAGGAAGATTTACTGAAAGTTTAAAAACAATTATTTGCATTTATTAAAGTTTAAGTAAATATTAATAAATACTTATTAATAAAATTAAATAAATAAATTAAAAATTATATAAATAAAAATTAAACATAAAAAAGTTTAGAAAAATCCTTTAAACCACAAATATATATTTTATAAATAAATAAATATTTTAAATTTTTATGAATCATTTCAATAAAGACAATTTTTTTTTTACAGACAAAAAAGCATTCTCCTGGGCATATTAAACGTCCTATGAATGCGTTTATGGTTTGGAGTCAAATGGAAAGGAGAAAAATCTGTGAAAAAACCCCTGATCTACATAATGCAGAAATTTCTAAGGAACTTGGCAGACGTTGGCAGCTTTTAGGAAATGAGGAAAAGCAGCCATACATTAATGAAGCGGAAAAACTACGCAAGCTTCACATGATAGAATATCCAGATTATAAATACCGACCACAAAAGAAACATTCGAAATCATTAAGTGTTTCAAAACCAAAGCTTGACTCCAACAGTGATAAAAGCAATCAATATGATAATAAAAATTTAAAGGCGTATTCTACTTGTTCGGTTAAACAGACTATCTCAAAACATGGTCGAAAAAATAAAAGAGGATATAAAGATGCTAACCGCACTGAGTTTGAAAAGCATAAAAAAGTTTTCATTGAAACTTTCGACAACACCTGTACAGAGCAGGATATAAAAACCGAAGCAATACAAGTAGTTCCTTCAACAAAATTTTCGTATACCTCAAATTCAACTATTAATTTAGATGCAAGTTCTTCATCATTCAATATTACTGATAAAAATTGCAATATATTTTCAAAACTGATTACTATAACGCAAAATAATGATTTTAATGATGAACATAATATACCTGAATTATTGCGTGTCCCTTCCAGTGATACTAATTTATTACATCTAGATGATGTTTTAAAATATGTGACTACCGAAAACTGCTTTGATCAGTCCAAAATGAAAGATATTAAATCTGAACTTCCACTGCCAGATACAAATAATGTAGATAATTTATCCTTTGCCAACACCTCAATAGAAACAAATCAATTTGTAAATGACGAAAATATTACTAATTTTGATAATAATGAAAATATTGTTAATGATGCCAATTTACATGCTGCAAGCCAGTTATCCTATGATATGGAACTGCAATATCCTGATAATTTTACAAAGTTTACTTCATTTGGTAATTCAATAACGGAACATCAATTACAAAATCATACAGCAAAACTTAATGCTGAAGAGAATTTACATAATTCCGAAATTGAAACAAATGATGAATGTTTAACTGCTCTGTACTGTGACAATGAATGTCAAAATGACATATTATTTGATAACCAAAACACTGTGGAACAACCTACCGTAACTATGAATATAGAAATACATAATGGATTACAATATCGTAGTTCCGGAAACGTAGCATTCCATAACGACGACATTTACTCAGTTTCAATTCCTTGTGCGGATGATAGCAATTGCAGCATTTTAAACTCCACACATTCGACGCATACCACATATTGCGGTGATTTCGCAAACGCAGCAATTGAAACAAATATTGGAGATGCTTCCACTTATACAACACCAATCAATGTGATTTTAGAACCTCAAAATGATCTCAATTGTACGATCTATGACACAAATGGTGCTCTTTTAGCTCTGAGCTACGACGACTTTCAGCCAGAATTAAGTAGTAGTCATTTAGAATTTAATAACAGATATGAGTTTCCAAGTTTATAAGAGAATCAATATAATATAATTATAGTTAAGATTTTATATTTTATATAACGAAAAACTTAAAATGTAAAAAATAATGTAAAAAAAAATGTACACAATTTTAATATAATATATATTCGATATATATTTTTACAAATTATAAATTAATGGTTTTTCTTTTTCTTTTTATATTTAGTATTTAATTTATGCGCAATGTAGTATAATGTTGTATTATATATATTAATACGTTTTGTTAAGCTTCACTTAATTGTGATAATAACTTTCAATTTATATAATTATACTTAAAAAAGCTATAAAAGTTATTATTCACATAGTTTCGTAATTACCGTTATTAATTTTTGTATAAACCCTGACTTAGGGTTAATTTTAATATGTCGTAAAATATGCATACCCGAAGGGTAACCAAAGCTATTAGTTAGATAAAATTTGTAGTTTTTACAAAAGCATAAACAATTGTGTTTCTAGGCTTATCTATTGTTCAACAATTTCTTTTGTATGTTTGCCCATTTTGGACGAATCCAGTTATACATTTTTACTAATAGAAGTGAGAGGAAATGATTCTACAAAACATTAAAATTATTTAAAGTTACTCGCTAAATTTGGCGAACAAAACCATCAAAGATATCTATTGGAAAAAGGGTCTTCAATAGACTTATAAAATTTTTATTAAGAATCAAAATACTAAGAGGTACCTTTACATGCAAACCGAACAAGTGTAGGAATTTATAATTGCTGAAAAACATCACTGAATCAATGAGAAATTAAATCATTTCAATTAAAGTCACTTCATAATTATGGCATAAAAATAGTAGGTTACTAATGTATTCTTATGATTTCAAATCATTTTTTATGGCTTCACTCGCATGTAAAGCTTATTGTGCAACATTTTTCCGTACTATTATCACCAATATAAATCTTGCAACATTTAAATTAATTATTAGCTTAATATTTGTATTTAACAGCAGTAGGGCATATATGTGCTTAAATCACACGTTAACCACCAAGTCCTGGTGGTAGTTGTAGTTTTAAAAGTTCAAATAAGAAAAGCATTCTCAGGATAAATGAAAAGTATAATAAAGAGTATAATAATACACATTAAATTAAATTAATTAATCAAAAAAAAAAATGGTACGTACCTTGTTCTTGAATCTTATGGTACATATGTGTGCATATTACATAAAGATACTTCATGCCATAAAATCATCAACATTTTTGTAGGTGATGCATATTCCTAACAAGTATAAGTATCTTATAAAAATTATTTGTTTCGAATGTTTTAAGAACGACACAAAATATTTAATCACAAATATTAATAAAATGTGTGCACAAAACCTAATCATTTGAGATTATGTTAAGGCGTTGTTACAAACACTAGATATTAGCTTTTTCATGACACGATTTAAGTCAAAATCAAATGATATATTTTAATATTCATACATATTTTTGTAAAGGAATCTCTATATATTTAAAATAACATATAAATCAAAAAAATTCGATTTTGTCAGCATTTTCCGATAAAAAACAGCTGTTGCAACATTTTACAGTGTTGCATATTGTAATATTTTGATATAAATTTATCAACACAAATAGGCAACAATCCTCATATAAACAATATACAACATATAAACAATTTAAATATATATATAATATTATCAACAAAAGTAGTTTTTTATTAAAAATTTTTCCTATCCATAATAATTCGAATGCGTAACACTTTTTTAATTATAATTCTATCTTGTTAATTATGTTAATGTGGTGGATTCATTTCACCATTGTAATATAATTGAGTTGAATTATAATATTTTACACTACTTTATTTTTATTATAATATAAAATTTAAATTTTACTATACATCTCATATAACTGAAAAGCAAAATTTAAAATATGGCATCTTGCTCTAAATTCACCACAGGTCTATTCTCTTTATGTTAAATTTTTGGTGAAAAAAAAATTTTTTTTTCTAACGCCTACACTACGTCTACACTGGCTTAAATTTAGCAAATAACCAAATAAGTATTTCAAATATGAAAAAAGAAAAGAAAAATCTTGTCAAAGATTAGCCAGTATAGACGCAGTATAACACGGTTATGCTATAAAGTTGGTGAGTTTTTTGAAATCTAATAAATAAATCCATCAAATATTATTTATATTTAATATAATTAAATTTACTTAATTAAAATAATCAATATTTTTATTAGAATGAAATTTTCGTTTTGTAAATTATGAAGCAAATGTGATAAAGTTGTAATGAATTTAAATTATAGTGAATTATTACTTGAAACTATAGTTCATAAAAGTGGAGAGCGTTCCTATTGCTTTACACCAATGAAGATAATTTATGACGATACATATTCCTTCTAAAAAGTATTTACTTTTCACTTAATAAAGCTGAATTCTTTAGTGAATTACCCAACGAAATATTGTCTATGTACATAGGGTGACGAAACATCAAATACTCTAATCTCTACTCTAATACTCTACTCTACTCTAATACTCTCTAATACTATATTCTAATTAAAAATTTTAGTTTACATTACATAAAACGAATTCTTTAAAAATAGCAGATTATGATACTTATAAACATATTGCATTTTATTTTATGTGTATTAAATGATTTCTCTCAAGTCTTAATACTTTTCTAGTAACTTGTTTTTATTTTAGTTTAAAAATATGTATTATTTTTAACAAAAACTTTTTTAATTTTGCACTTAAAATATATGTGGCAGCAGTGATACAATATATAATATCGTATCACCAATTGTAAGTTAATTCTAAGATATTTTAATTAATTTCATTCATGTCAGTTAGGTTGAGTTCAAGTCGCGGCATTGTGCACCAAGGTACACTTAAGCCTTAAATCAGTTTTCAAACTTTAGAAATAAAGAAAAGAGTGTTGCAGTTGAGAAGAAAACATTGTAGAGTATCACAGTGTGAAACAGAAAAGGTGCTTCGACTACTGAAACTGCTAGAAAGAAAATAAACAAAATATGTAAAACATTGATAGATTACCTTATTTACGGAAATATGAATAGTTATATAACAGATACAAAACGTAAATATGAAATCTAAAAAAATATATCTTAAAAACAATATCTTAAAAACAGACCAGAAAATTTTACATTTATTATAAGTAAGATTGAATGATTCATGCTTTTCAGCTCAATGTGTAGAAATCATGCATATATTAAAAATTAAATAATGAAGTTAGGTTTGGTTTTGCTGTAACTTTAATACCCTTCGCACAAAATTATTAATAATTACCTAACTTCATCAAATAAGAATGTTGAATAATAAAATAAAAATTCTACAAACATTTATCTATTTAAACGGCACGTATATTCAGTACTGAAATCATATATTCAGATATAAATATGTGAAATGTTATTCTTATTTTTTACAAATCAACTTTAAAATAAGCAGAAATAAGTTCATATTGTTCATTTCATGAAGTAGATAATAAAGTATAATCAACCGATTTCGTTCCTTCCAAGAATTATCAGATTTTGCTCTCATAAACTCTATGTGAAATGTTTATTTTAAGCTCTGTATTCAAGTTATTTAAGCGTTGGGATATTATATTGGACAAAACTTAAATTCACCACAATACAATACAATAAAAATGACGTCAATTGAGTTGAAACCCAAATTTATCTCGATATGTCCTCCTTATCTTGGTGCACCGAATATCATTTCATATTAAATCAATAATAAATATAATAATAATAAATAAATATAATCATTTGATAATATAATAAAAAATGTTAATAACACTATGGTGATTGCTATTACTACAAAAAAACCATTCAAAATATATGAGAAGAAATGTCTTGCAAACCTTGTTAAATAGTTAAATGTACAAGGCTATGAACCGGCTATGAACTTTATCAGTTTTAAATCGGAATCTTTAAATTTCAATGTAATTGAACCAAACCAATAACAGAACTACTGTGATATTAAAAATCCGCTGTACAATAGTTTTTAGTATTCTGGGTTCAGTGTTCGCAGTATAAACTCAGTAAATTTGAGTATTTAATTTCAAACTTGTATATAACACATATATATTGTAACAATTGGTAAAATTTATATATGTGGATCACATTGTTATACGGTTGGATCTAAGTTAGAGTTTCTTATTTTTGATTCTCAACTAAATTTATAAATTTTTTCAACAGCTTTTACTATATTTTATTCCAAAAAAAAAACTTTTTTACAAATAGAACTAAGGGATAAATTAAAATATGTGTATATATAACATTAAGCACAGATTTAAAATATTAATACAATAAAATAAGAATACTGTAAATCCTGGTTTATGATTTCACATCTGAAGACAATACATGGAGAAGTTCAAAAATACAATTTAAAAAAATATAGTAAATAACTTCGTTCTATTGGCAGTAAATCCAGAAATAATACGTTCACATCTAAAGTCAAGTACATGGAGAACATCAAAAATATCATCTATAACAGTAGAGTAAAACAGCTCCGCTAGCGGTACTATAAGCAAGTATTAAGATAGGGCGTTACCACGCCTTAAGCGCAAGTATAAAATCGTGTTTGAAAGAAGGAAATGAGCTACTCTAAACTTAACCGAACTATTCCTAAGAAATGTACAAAAAGTATATAATAATCAAATATTTATAAAAATTAATATATATACTTTATTTTTGTATAAAATAAATATTTGTCTTAATAAATCCGCATACTTATCCATAAATATTTACGAATATATACTTGTGTATATATTAATTTTGCACCTAAATATGTGTTATTGAATGAGTGCAGCTATTACAAGTAATTCAAAAAATCAATGTATTTACCTACTGAGATACTTGTTATCTAAAAAAAAAAAACTAAATCTCTGAATAATACACGTTAAAAGTATCTACAATATTTATCTTGTTGAATTATGTATCTGCGAATTCAAGTATTTTTATCGACTAAAAATATTGAAAAACTCTAGTAAATCGCATGTATATAATATATACGTACCTTATCATAAAAACTGCGGCTTAAACAGCGTAACATTCGTATTCATAACAAGAGATAAACGGTTCAGCTCCGA